CGTATGGATGTGAGAGTTGAACTATAAAGAAAGCTGAGCGCCGAAGAATTGATGCTTTTGAACTGTGGTGTTGGAGAAGTCCCTTGGACTGCAAAGATATCCAACCAGTCCATCCTAAAGTTAATCAGTCCTGAATATTCATTGGAAGGACTGATGCTGAATCTGAAACTCCAATACTTTGGCCACCTGATGCAAAGAACTGACTAATTGGTAAAGACCTTGATACTGGGAAAGATTGAAGGCAGGAGGAGAAGGGGACGACAGAGGATGAGTTGATTGAATGGCATTACCGACTGGATATACATGAGTTTTGAGTAAGCTCTGGAGTTGGTGATGGCCAGGGAAGCCTGGCGTGCTGCAGTCCATGGGGTCATAAAGTGTCAGACATGACTGAGAGACTCTACTGAACCGAAATAAATATCTATGCCTTTTGGTATAAAAATCACAAAAATTATTATAAGAGACTCTTTATTCCCATGAAATTCAAACAAAACTAATAGACATGGAGTGGTATAAAAGTGACTTTAACAAATTTATTATATTCCTTTGAAATTTTTTTTCTGTAATTTAATTTTTAATTATACTTGTTTTAGGATAGATGGACATATTGAAGCCTCCTATCTATAATCCTTTCACTCTATTTGTCCTTTTCAGGTGTTCTTGTGTTTAAATAATTTTAATGGCACTCCTTTAAATAGACCCCTCCTGCCACTTCAGTAAAAGCAAGAGAAGACCCAGCTGCCAGGTCCGTCAAGCTACATGCCTCATGATGCACATTTAGTGCTTGCTTCTGTTTTCATAGCCTTTAACCAAAGTATATTTCTACCTACATGTCTTCCAAAGTTAGAAGTTGAGATTTATTTCATTGACTTTTTATTCAAAGTATTGGATGAGAGGGGGATTATGCATATGAGACAGGGTCAGGGTCTTAAACGGTGTTTGGAACCACCATGCATCGACCTCTCCACCAGGTAGATGTCATGGTGTCGACTAGAATTACATTGTAAACTTGAATTCAGTTTGAGTGCACTGGCAGGGAGTGGAAAGAACATAGGTTCAAACCTTGACAATTTAAAAAGCACATGTCAAAGCAAAGTTTGGAGACAAATAATATTTTACCATGTATAGCAGCCAGCCTTTTCATTTCCTAAGCTAATGACAAAATTCATCAATTTTATAACAATAAAAATAAAAGACTAAAAAGAAAATATTCATTTATAACCATTTACTATGCACTAATGTAAAAATGTATTCATAAAGCACCTTTTCGTTCTTTGTGGTAAGGTCATGTTATCTATTTTTTCTTATCAAACAAAAAGCACCACTGCAGTTCAAGTTACAGATCTTTACATGGTAATTTATTTTTCCTGTTTTCTTCTTCCCATGGTGGATTTAATAAATGGTATTAAAGGTTTTCTCTTATACAAAATACTCTTGCTAAATAAAATTATAGTTAAATAAAATTTCCAAACATTTTGATATTGTTTTAATTGAAAGTTCTTTTTAATTTGCACATGGCTGTAGTTTATCAATTTTAAACAAACTGATAATTCAGTGCTTCTTTTTAAAAAGTTTACCCTTGTAAGGAATAATAAATGCTTTCAGAGATTTTCTACATATGAGAATAAAATTTCATTATTTGAGCCTTGTTATCAAAAATAGAAAAAAATAATAATCAAATAAAAGACTAACATATTAAAAAAATTAAACAGAATTTGAATCTGATACTGTGGTATACTAAAACTAATTCAAGGTAGCAAAAATTCAGTCAGTACAGGCAGGGGACATTTAGGAATTTTGGAAATAGAACTGCTGTTTCTCATATATTTCTTCAAATATATTGTTTGTGCAGTTATGTTAAGTCATGATCTTCTAAATAACTAGAGTAATATTCACAATTGACTTTTAAAAATAATTTAATAAAATCATATTAAGTGGGAGCAGTTTTTTATATGTAGAGTCAGTGAGGATTTTATAGGAGTTAGAACTTCAGCAAATAGACAGTATTAACACAACCAAGACTAATGTAGAAGTTGATGCAAAGGTTGAAAATAAATTTACAAAAGCTAATAAAATGCCTAGAACAGTAATTAACCATTATTATCACAATAACAATGAAGCTGTTTGTGTTTGAATTTAACAATACACCTAAGCCAAAGTTGAATTAATATAAAAATAATATGCAGTGAGCAGATATCATACAAAAAGTATAATAAAAAATTAATGTTCCCATTGAAGACATAAGTTATGACAACCTCTTTGAGTGTGCCTTCTAAATACTTTACTTCCCAGTTATGTGAGGGCAGCTCATTGAAGCCTTATAAGATATCAACCAGAATATCCACAGTATTTCTTAAAAGCACTACATTTTCCCCACCACATCAGATAAAATAATTTAATGTTCTTATTTTAACAAAAGGCCCATAGTTACTAACTCCAAACTATATAGTAGCTTTTTTTGTTTTTTAATTTTCTAGCATTAACTGTGGTTCTTAAAGATTATCTACAGTTGATATTTTAATTTTCATGCTATTACTGAAAGTAACCAAGTTTATTCTTGGTTAGAAAGTTCTACTGTAACTCACCTCTAAAACTGACTTTATGTGGAAAGTTTCAGCATAAAAATATATCTTATATATATATATATGTGTATGTGTATATATATATGTATATATGTATATGTCAAGATTGACTCTACTACATTTTTAGAATAAGTACAGAGTTTTATATCAGACAATTTGAGTTTTAACATCTAACTTTACACTGTAACCCTGGGAACATTATATTCTTTCTTTGAGCCTCAGTTCCTAAACCATAAAATGAGACCATCACCACAGTTCTCAAAGGGTTGCATGAAGTTAAAAGGGCTAGTGTATGTGCTTAGTACTGGGCTGGGCACAGCACAGTATACCAGGTTTTAATGTTTTTTTTCTTTTCTCCTCTCTTTCCTATTCCCAATATTTTGGCTTACTGGAGATAGGTGAAAAAAAAATATAGAAGTTACTGGAATAAATCAGCTCCACTAAAAAGCTCCTTATATTGCAGGCAATATTTATACACTTCCAAAGTAATGTTCCATAAGATCAAAAGATTATTTTTAAAAATGTATTTACATAATACAATTCATACACAATAAAAGAGTTTCAAGGCAACAATGGAAAAAAAAAGCAAGCTAAATCTGTGTGTATAGTTTAATATTGTAAAATGAAGAAAGATTTTCAATTTTATTAAATATTGAATGTTCATGGACAGACAACAGAACCAAAGCTACTTCATACAGCAATCTATATCAACATAAAAAAATATCAAAATAGAGTTTCTCTGAAGGAAGGAGCGTTTTTAAAAATAGGATTGATAATAATGAGAAATTCCCATTATTTTTCCATGAAACAGCTTATGAAAGTTGCTACTTCAAACAGGATTCTAGCAGAACTTGGCATGTAAATTTAAACTTTTCAGCCACCCACTACTCATCACTTTCTTGTAGCTTCACTCATTCAGACAATCTCATATATACATACATTAATATTAAAAAAAAAATCCTGGCTTTAAAGCAGAAAATTAATTTTCTACAATAAACGTAGGTCACCATATTTATATCTAAAGATCTCAGTCACAGAAATTAATTTTCCTCATAGAGATGCTAACTAAAGTACACTACTATACTCAACTTTTCAAAAAAGGTGTGTCTCTTAGGAGGATCTGCTCAATCATTCAAAGTAACTCTAAGGCATTATAAGCAGCTGTTCCACGGGACAAGTGCTCCGCTTGCAACTACATACTTTTGATTCATTTAGCAAGTCTTTAGTCTTCAAGTGCTACCAGCCAGACAGAGACGTTTGTAGTCTACAGGTGGTTGGCTCAAAGGTCAAAAACTTTGTTTAAAAAAAAATGTTTATGGAATAGCACCATAGAAAGTCTTTCAGAAACAAATCTTTTTTTTTTTTGTTTTTACAACATTACATTTTAAAAACCTGAATTCTAGGAAGAGAAAGAAAATTTTCAGTTCTAACAAGGCTTGCCCACTTCATTTCATTAAAAAAAAAACAAAAAAAACATTAACCTTGACAACATCAACATGAACAGCTACAACAGATCAACAACAAAAGAAAGAATAGCAGCAGTAGAACTTCAGTATGAACCATCTCGGCAGTCACTTTAAAAGGATCCAGTTCACACCTGTTGGGAATTATCTCATCATGTTCACAAGACATCGCAAGGTCTCTTGAATTTGGTGTGAAAAGGCAGCATTTCTCACTGAAAGAACTGAGTTTACTGATAAACTGGGCATTTTCCAGCACTTAGATAAAATTATGTTTAGAATCAGCTAAATGGTAGATACTACTGACATTTCAAACTTGTCAAAGGTCAGGAAAATGAAATGGTTTCAAGATGGTTTACGTTTCAAAGAGGTAAATTTAGCCTGCAAGTGAAAATAATGAAGCTGAAATATTCCAGTTTCAAACACTGGTCATACCCATATTTAAAGTATAAACCACCCTTAAAAGACTTCCACTTCACAACAACTTATATGGAGCTGGTTTACATTGTCTTCAAGATGCACAGTCAAAGCAATTATCCTAAGATTCTAGGAGAGGGTTTTCCAGTTTATAACCTGTAAGATCATATTATTTCTCCCATATATTGAGCAATTGTCAAAAAGAACACTCTGCAGGGTCACAGACCCTGAAAGGAAATATTTGAATTGTGAAGCATCTGTGTTGTGCTGTGAACAAAGAATTGTGAAGTCTTCTTTGAATCATGATGCCCTTTCGCCAGCTTTATTTATATTTATACTGTCAAGAATGGAGTTCAAATATCCTGGTAATGCTGATCAGGGTTAGCTGGAAACTTCTCTTGTAGTACAGAGATAATTCTGGTCTTGCAGTTTTCTTTTGCTCAAACTCATATGAAATATTTGTGCTAAAATCTTCATTTAAAAAAGAAATAAATCTTCTCTGCATTATACACACTCCTTTATGTTCTGATGGAGATTTTGGTTATTTTTTGCTATGTGTGGAATCTGGATATCTGATGCTTTTGTATCTTATATGAAATCCTTTCTTGCTGATTGTGTCATCAGTATGAAAATGAATTAAAACTGTATCACCAATTGAATAGATTTCTTCTGGTGGCTGAAGACAAAAACAAAGACAAAGACACACAAACAAAAACAAATAATAAGTATGAATTATTTTTTCTTCTACGTAATTCACATTTGGAAATTTGGTATAAAACTGAATCCTCCCAACAACCTTGAAAAGTAAATAAGAGTGACTTTATTTTACAGGTGAGAAAGCTTGAGTTATAAAGAACAGATGATGTGCTCAAGATCACAATGTTGATCAGTGATGTAGCTGAGCTTTGAACATAATTAAGTCTGCTTCCAAGTTCTGGAACTTGGTGCTTTTCCCCCAAATTTTAAACCAAGTTCCTTCGACTTACAAGTAATTAAAGTGAAGCGCAGAGAGAAAAAAGAGACATTAAAACTATTTCAGAAGCTGCTCTGAGGCAGAGCCACTTCCAGAATCCAAATTGTCCATTCCTTCTTATTTTAGTAACCTAAGTACTGAGAAGCACTTTTGTTTCATTTCAGTTGTAATTTGGACAGGAGTTCAATATTACTCAAATTCAGTATTATTTAAGTAATAGTTATTGGTAGAAATTTGCAAAATGGAACTAAAGCTTTAGAACAAAATATGTATTCAGAAGAACATTTGATATTAATGTGCTGAATCCTGGGGGGGAAAGCACTGAGAAAACCTTAAGCTTTCCTTTTTCTTATTTGTCATGTTGATGCCCTCTAACCTATTTTGGGTACTGTGTCCTGTGCATACTGCAATGGAGCGACATTCAATAGTACTGGCTAAACCTCCACACTGGTAGCAGATCCTGCCACTTATCATATATATTGTTGAGAGGGGAATCTCAATTTGAATCATGCATATTCTTTTTCTTCTATGCTTTAATTTAGAAGTTTGCAAAACTGTCATGGTGTGTGTTAAGATATATTGCTTTTGGATAATTAAATATTTAGTGCATAATTGAAAGCATGAGTTTTAAAAGTTAGAATGTGGACAATAACAATAATTATAGTTACTGAATTCATCTGTCTTGTTCGATGTTATTGAGCAAATTCACTAGCAACAGAGAAGGGAAGAGGCACGTTATAACTTATCAAGCCATTAATAATATGATGTAACATTTTTTTTGTAAAAGCATTGCTGACTTACGCATCTTACATATATAGAATCACCAGTTTATAGGCATTTTCTATCACGTCTATGGTATCCTGGTGGTACTGTATTTACCCCTGATCCACAGAATCGACCAAGCCCCACTGCTGTTGAATCAAGACCATCGAAGAGCTCAGCGTAGTCATAGCCACAGTCAGCTTCTTCTTCCACTTCAAAAATCTGGAAGGATAATTCGAGTCGAGAGCCCCGTTCTGACACTAACAGCCATTCACAATCAACTTGTCCCGGGTAGTTGTTATCACCAAACTGAGCATGTGAGTACAGATCTCTGGGTTTTGATTCCACTTTCAGTCTGCCACCACACTCTGCCCAAGGAATAAAAATGAGATAAGTGAGCTCAATGAGCTTTAACAATTCCAATTTCTCTTTCAGTGTAGTATAACCACTCTCTAACTTCTATATTCATTTCCATGGTCAGTTATGCTTCCCATATTTGAAGATTCCAATGATGTAGTGGATATTGATAGGCCCTAGGTTTGGTAGGCTGGGTTTTGTATTTCAGCTTCACACTTACTAGTTTAGTGACTTTGGATAAGTGACATTGCTTCTCTGATACATAAGGTAAAGTGCAGATGACAACAATAGTACCAATCTTAGTGGGCTCTGAGGATTTAATTAACAAAAGAAAATCACTTAAAACAGTACCTGCCATATAGTAACCAGTCAATCCTAAAGGAAATCAACCCTGAATGCTGAAGTTGAAACGCCAGTGCTTTGGCCACCTGATACGAAGAGCCGACTCATTGGAAAAGACCCTGATGTTGGGAAAGACTGAAGGCATGAGAAAAAGAGGGCAGCAGAGGATGAGACGGTTGGATGGCATCACCAACTCAATGAACATTTCTTGCTGTTGTTCAGTCATTAGTCATGTTTGACTTTGCAAACCCATGATTGCAACACGCCAGTCTTCCCTGTTCGTCACTATTGCTTGGAGTTTGCTTAAACTCACATCCATTGAATCAGTGATGCCACCAAATCATCTCATCCACTGTCGCCCCTTTCTCCTCCTGCCTTCAATCATTCCCAGCATCAGGGTCTATTCCAATCAGTCGGCTCTTCCCATCAGATGGCCAAAGTATTGGAGCTTCAGCTTTAGCATCAGTAGTTCCAATGAATATTCAGAGTTGATTTCCTTCAGGATTTACTGGTTTGATCTCCTTGCTGCCAAGGGACTCTCAAGAGTCTTCTCTAGCACCACAATTTGAAAGCATCAGTTCTTCACCACTCATCCTTCTTTATGGTCACATCTGTACATGACTACTGGAAAAACCATAGCTTTGACTATATAGACCTTTGTTAGCAAAGTGATGTCTCTGCTTATTAATACAATGTCTATCTAGGTTGGTATAGCTTTTCTTCCAAGGAGCAAGCATCTTTTAATTTCATCCCTGCCGTCACTATCTGCAGTTATCTTAGAGTCCAAGAAAATAAAACCTGTCACTGTTTCCATTTTTCCTCCCATCTATTTGCATGAAATGATGGGATTGGATGCCATGATCTTAGTTTTATGAATGTTGGATTTTCAAGCCAGCCTTTTCACTCTCCTCTTTTACCCTCATCAAGAAGCCCTTTAGTTCCCCTTTGCTTTCTGCCATTAGGGTGGTGTCATCTGCATATGTAAGGTTATTGATATTTCTCCTGGCAATCTTGATTCCAGCTTGTGATTCATCCAGCTTGGAATTTTGCATGATGTACTCTGCATATAAGTTAAATAAGCAGGGTGACAATATACATGTACTCCTTTGACATACTCCTTTCCAAACTTGAACCAAACTGTTGTTCAATATCTGGTTCCAACTGTTGCTTCTCAACCTGCATACAGGTTTTTCAGGAGGCAGGTAAGGTGGTCTGATATCCCCATCTCTTTAAGAACTTTCCACAGTTTGCTGTGATCCATGCAGTCAAAGGATTTATCATAATCAATGAAGCAGATGTTTTTCTGGAATTCCCTTGTTTTTCTATGATCCAATGGATGCTGGCAATTTGATCTCTGATTCCTCTGCCTTTTCTAAATCCAGTTTGTACATCTGGAATTTCTTGGTTCTTGTACTGTTAAAGCATAGCTTGGAGGATTTTGAGCATTACTTTGCTAGCATGTAAAGTGAGTGCAATTGTGAGGTAGTTTGAACATTCTTTGGCATTGTCCTTCTTTGGGATTGAAATGAAACTGACCTTTCCCTGTCCTGAGCCCACTGCTGAGTTTCCCAAATGTGCTGACCCACTGAGTGCAGCACTTTCCCAGCATCATCTTTCAGGGTTTGAAACAGCTCAGATGGGATTCCATCACCTCCACTAGCTTTGCTTGTAGCAGTGCTTCCTGAGGCCCACTTAACTTCACACTCTAGGATTTCTGGCTGTAGGTGAGTGATCACACCATAATGGCTGTCCAGGTCATGAAGACATTTTTTCTACAGTTCTTCTGTGTATTCTTGCCACCTCTTCTTAATATCTTCTGCTTCTGTTAGGATCATATTGTTTCTGAGCCTGTCTTTGCATGAAATGTTCCCTTGGGATCTCTAATTTTCTTCAAGTGGTCTCTAGTCATTCCCATTCTACTGTTTTCCTCTATTTCTTTGCATTGTTCACTTAAGAAGGCTTTCTTATCTCTCCTTGTTATTCCTTGGAACTCTGCATTCACATAGGTATATCTTTCAATGGACATGAGTTAGGGCAAACTCTGGGAGATAGTGAAAGACAATTAAGCCTGGTGTGCTGCAGTGCATGGGGTCACAAAGAGTCAGACATGATTGAGTGACTGAAAAACAACTTATATTAGCTCTCAATGAATATTTTTTATTGTTATACTTTATATTGTTTTCACTTTTAACTGTTTTCAAGGACAAGAAGGTCAGTGTTCAAGTTAAATCTTAATATTTTAAGAACCCAGAATCCAAAGTTATATGACATAACTGAAAAAAATCAGCAATATAAAAATCCTGTATGTGTGTATGTGCCATATAGAACTCTCTGCGTAGAATATACAGACCAGTATTACTTTACTTAGGTTGAACTACTTATCTAACTTGATTTGGAATAACATACACCCCTCATAAATTGTAGTTAATCTTGAAGTTCCAGAACTTTATGAATTATATTTTGTGTGTTTAACAAACAAAAAATGCTCTTTTCATAGCTTTTTCAGGGAGATATTAATAAACACATGATTTACCAGTTAGTACCTCTGTCATTAGAGGTAACTCTACCAAATATAATATATACCTGCATAAAATTTACTGTTAATGTATTTCAGAGAATAAAAGTTTTAAAATATTACTCTTTGTAGCCTGGGTGCCCAAATTTTACAATGACTAGAGAGGAAATGAATGTTCAAACTACTGTAAACTTGTGCTCATGTCATATGCTAGCAAGGTTATGCTCAAAATTCTTCAAGCTAGGTTTCAGGAGTACATGAACTGAGACTTTTCAGATGTATAAGTTGGGTTTAGAAAACACACAGAGGAACCAGAGATCAAATTGTCAACCTTCTTTGGATCATGGAGAAAGCAAGGGAGTTCCAGAAAAACATCTACTTCTGCTTCATTGACTACACTAAAGCCTTTGGATATGTGGATCACACAAACAAACTGTGGAAAATTCTTAAAGAAATGGGAGTAGCAGACCACCTTACCTGTCTCCTGAGAAACCTGTATGTGGATCAAGAAGCAACAGTTGGAATCAGACATGGAACAACAGACTGGTTCAAAATTAGGAAAGGAGTATGGCAAGCCTGTATATTGTCACCCTGCTTATTTAACTTATAGGCATAGTACCTCATGTGAAATCCTGGGCTGAATGAATCACAAGCTGGTACCAAGGCTGCTGGCAGAAATATTAACAATCTCAGCTATGCAGATGACACAACTCTTATGGCAGAAAGAGAAGGGGAACTAAAGAGCCTCTTGATGAAAATGAAAGAGGAGAGTGAAAAAGTTGGCTTGAAACTCAACATTCAGAAAACTAAGATCATGGCATCTGGCCCCATCACTTCATGGCAAATAGATGGGGAAAAAAATGGAAACAGTGACAGACTTTATCTTCTTGGGCTCCAAAATCACTACAGATATTGACTGCAGCCATGAAATGAAAAGATGCTTGCACCTTGGAAGAAAAGCTATGACCAAACTGGACAGCATATTAAAAAGCAGAGACATTGCTTTGCTGACAAAGGTTCAGCTAGTCAAAGCTAAGGTTGTTCCAGTAGTCATGTATGGATGTGAAAGTTGGACTGTGAAGAAAGCTGAGCACTGAAGAATTGATGCTTTTGAACTGTGGTGTTGGAGAAGACTCTTGAGAGTCCCTTGGACTGCAAGGCGATCCAACCAGTCCATCCTAAAGTTAATCAGTCCTGAATATTAATTGGAAGGACTGATGCTGAAGCTGAAACTCCAATATTTGGCCACCTGATGTGAAGAACTGACTCATTGGAAAAAGCTCTGATGCTGGGAAAGACTGAGGTGGCAGGAAAAGGGGATGACAGAGGATGAGATGGTTGGATGGCATCACCGACTCAGTGGACATGGGTTTGAGTAAACTCTTGGAGTCGGTGAAGGACAGAGAAGCCTGGTGTGCTGCAGTCCATGAGGTTGCAAAGAGTTGGACTGAAGTTCCAACTAAAGGTCGCAACTGAACAACTGTACTGAACTGAAGGGGAACTAAAGAATCTCTTAATGAGGGTGAAAGAGGAGAGTGAAAAGGCTGGCTTGAAATTAACATTAAAAAAACTAAGATCATGGCATGTGGTCCCATCACTTCATGGCAAATAGATGGGGAAAAAAATGGAAACAGTAACAGGTTTTGTTTTCTTGGACTCCAAAATAACTGCAGATGGTGACTGCAGCCATGAAATGAAAAGACACTTGCTCCTTGGAAGAAAAACTATGACCAAGCTAGACAGCATATTAAAAAGCAGAGACATTACTTTGCCAACAAAGGTCCTTATAGTCAAACCTGTGGTTTTTCCAGTAGTCATGTACAGATGTGAGAGTTGAACCATAAAGGCCAGAGGATTGAAGTTTTTGAACTGTAGTGTTGGAGAGGACTCTTGAGTGTCCCTTGGACAGCAAGGAGATCAAACCAGTCTATCTAAAGGAAATCAAACCTACATACTCATTGGAAGTGATGATGCTGAAGCTGAAGCTACAGTACTTTGGCCATGTGATGTGAAAAGCCTACTCATTGGAAAAGACCTTGATGCTGGAAAAGACTGCAGGCAAAAGGAGAAAAGGGTGGCAGAGGATGAGATAGTTAGATAACTGGAGCCCATTATACAGAGTGAAGTAAGCCAGAAAGATAAAGACAAATACAG